GAGGAAAAAGAGAGAAATATGAAAAAAAGAATATATATAGTTTTATTTTTTTACAAACTAGTTCTAGGCTAAACCATGAGATAATTTGAGAAACTAGAATTCTCACTTTTTACATAGAGAAATAGAAAAAAGTGAGATGATTTTGTACAATTATTTCAGTTCTAATTTTTTTCCATTTATACTTAACTAATATAATATAATTTTATCCTAGTTCTATGTCTAATTGACTAGCACTATTAAATTTTGATGGTGTTTCAGGCGGTATTTTTTGTTCAAACAAACTTTTAAGTTAGCTCTTTTATTTCTATATGTTTGATAAAATAGGAACTACACTAGCTTATGAGTCATAAGTCACATTTTAAAAAGTTGGTATACTCTAGTTTTTAAAAACCTAGCTTACAACCTCATCTAACTAAGCTAGGTTTGACTAAATAAATTACTACTTAAATAACTTTTATAATATTTTTTATCATCAAAATTAAAAGCCATTGACAACAAACATAACTTATAAGCTTTAAAAAAATAAGCCTTCCCAAACACCCTCAAATTATCATAAAATTTAGTTTTGAGTTCTACTTTGCTATTATCCCTCGTGACAGACACCAATTCGGATCGGTTAGTTATGGACATGTACCCGAATCCGAAAGAAAAAGTTGGGCATTATCGTCTTTTTGCATAGGTAGTGCCCTTTAAATTCGATAGTCGCTGTGAACGTTGCGCTTATTAGCAGCAGAAAAAATACAGCGCACCATTTCCGTCGGCAGCTCCCTCCTCATTTCTAGGGTTTCTATTCTCTGAGCAAATATGAGGTAAACTCTCAAAGATCAGTTCATTAGGGGTTTTATACTTAGAAGGTACTGTTGTTTGGCCATCTTTTAGTATGATTCGAAGTTACTTGATGTAACAGATAGGCTAGGGTTTCAATTCGTTTACTTGGTTTGATCGTATACATTGCGAAGATTTTGCTATGAATTTTAAGTGGCAATAACTGAAATTAGGCATTTTGTTTCCTACAGTTAGTAAAAATAATTTTTTTGGCCATAAATTCTCATTATCCGCATTTTAATTGGGGTTGCTGTATATAAGGGTGTCATATTCATGAAATTTCTGATGATGGTATTTTGACCTGTTTAATTAAGGAGATAAAGAATGTGTAATTGTTGTTATAGCTTTCTGAAAAAAAATTCGTTTAGTGCGCCCCTTACAAAATTTGGGATGAAGATTAATGTTTTTTTTTTTTTTTGTTGATTGTGGATTGTCTTGCTAGATAACGAGTGGGTAATTAGAGACTTCAGAAACTCGGTAGTTATTGTCTGATATGTAGAGTGATACAAGATGTCAAAGATATCTGTTGGATAAACATGAGAACTGTGTGACCCAACATGTGTTTAGAAAATTCTTATCGTTTTACTCTTACTTCGGCAGTTTTCTACGAAGTGCAAGTCTTTCCAGACAAGGAGTGGACAGCATTTAGTAGAAGTGCGGCAGAGTTTTTGGAGGCATACTTTTTCACATGATATTATAAAATGTTGAAGGCAAGAGTAGTTTGAGTTGCTCCAGCAGCATTAGTTTTTAAAAGTGTCAAAAGGGGAAAGTTCCACCTGTATATCGCCTAGGATATGTAGGACACTTCCCACCCAAAAAAATGGTGTATAAAACATGAATGTGGCAGGTTTGTGATGTTTGTCCATCAGTATCGGATAAGATGATGTACACCCCACCCCATGTTGACCAAAGGATATCTTCTCAATAATACTGCCAAGTGCCAAATCCGATTCTGTGTTAAATATAGCCAATATATATGTTGGGTAGATTACTCTCTTTCCATTAAAAGTAAAAAGTTAGACAACATTTTTGCACCATACATGCACTGTTTGTAAATTGTTAGTTTGTTCATTTGTCACTGTTCACCTTTGAATTTTGGTCAGTTCATAATCCCATGGAGGATAAAGAGCAGAATATGTTTAAAGTTCTTTTTCATTTGATCTAAAAATATCTACTCCCAACTCGTGTGTGCGCACACACATAATCGAGATGAAATGCAAATATGAATCCAATTACTCATCCAGTTATTGGTTAATTGTTGTGCTTGCCTGTGTAATTGAAGTACATAGGTCATTTTTGCATGTATACAGTATATCACTAATAAAATGATTCAGTAGTCAAATATGCATGTAACAAGATAAAGGTGGAGCCTAGTGAGTAAAATTTTTGTTTTTGATGCATCATACAGCAAAAAGTATATTTTAAAAACCAGTAAGATTAGTAAGATACTAAGATTGTCAAACCTGATCATTTTAATAGAAGGCCTTTTTTATTTGTCATTTCAGTTGTCCTCTGTTGATTCTAATCATGTCGATACCAAAACTATTAGTACTGAAGAAGCATTGATCATATTTGCTCACTATGATACATTTGATTTGATTTAGTGACTAAGGTTTCATACTTGCAAACATGAAAACCTGAAGAAAGGAAAAAATCAATTGTGGGCTCAGATCTTGATCAGGATGAATCCAATCTACCTAATAAAAATTTTCGGGGCATGCCCGTTTCTAATATCAGTCTTCCATTTTTTTGTGGAAAAAAGTTCTTAATTAGAAACAAAGGAAATGAAAGTGGTAAATAAGAGTCTCTCCCCATGCTTCCATTTTTTTCGCAGGCCTTGATTCTAAATTGTTTCAAATTTCATCTGACCCATAATCAATGTAGATATGTGGATATTATTCTATAAAAGCTTAAGGCATTTTACCAAAAGTGTTCACTTTTAGTAGAGTTGGGTATTCTTCGCACTATTGGTTGGATCAGGTGATTATGTTTCAAAAAGTTTATGGAAGAGATAAAGAAAACATTTAATTGGTAAGATGGGTTTTCTTTTTCCAGTTCTGGGTTTGGTTCCATATCCACCATCAAATAGTAGAGAAGGATCAGAACCCTCAAGAGAAATGATGTTTGATCTGGATCAACCAACCCTGACACCCAATTGTAATCCTCTGTCCTTAACCAATTTGTTGTGGGCATTGTAGCCTTTTCATTTCAAGATGTTTATGAGGGTGTTTGGGAGAACTTATTTTTTTAAGCTCATAAGCTAAGATGGCTTTCGTGGCTTTTGGTTTTTGGCTTTTATGATAAAAATTTTATAAATAATGTTTGAGTAGAATTGTCATTTACTTGGTCAAATCTAGCTTAACCAGATGAGCTTTATAAACAAAATTTTCAAAAGTTGGGGAACCCCAACTTTTTTATATGGAGCTTAAAAGCTAGCTTATATGGGATGTTACCAAACAAGTAGGAAAATACCAAACAAGTAGGAAAAAAACTAGCTTATAAATTACTTTGACAAAAAAAAAAGTGAAGAAGCTCCGCAAAACATCCTCTGTCCATGTCAAATTGTTTGTCAATTGAAGTTGCCTCATATTAGGTTCTGTCTTATATATTTTTAAGAAGTCCCTTTGGAGTTCCGCTCTAGGAGTAGAAAATCTAAGCGCAACATTTTTTGTGGGCAGATGACTTCTCAGTTACTATGGCTTTGATTTCTTCCACTAGACTTTTAAAAGATGTGAGCTTCCAAAGATTCCTCCTCTAGGTTTTGTAATCTTGAAAATTTCTGTTCAGTGCCTGTTTGTTTTGCTTGGAAAATTATGGAAATGGTTGGAAACCCTCTGACATAGGCAGCAATTGTCAAAAAACCCCAAAACGTTTCCTAATAAATGTGTTTGGCTGCTTTGATGATTTCAAGAAACATTTTCTTGAATTGTTAGAAAATAGCATTTTGTGGAAACCCATTTTAGAGTTTAGAGCGAAAATAACTGGAAAGGTAAAAAAGTTAAATAAAAATTGTAGAGAGATGTTTTGCGGTTTCTAGTGATAATTGTGGAGGTGTTTTGTGCTTTCTTTCCCCCCCCTCCAAGTACATGATTTCCATGTATGCTTTCTGGGTGATATTGATTGAGAAAAAAATAGCAATGTTGAAAACAGCAGTAAAAAGCCTCACTTAAGCAGTTTTAAAGTGGAAGCGGTCCTTTAACAATGAAGAATCCTTTTCTGACTTCACATTGTCGACGCCCACCTCAAATTCAGGTGAAGCTTGTTGCTAAAGCCTCCTCGACAAGTATGCCTCCAGCAAACCATCTTCACATGAATCCAACAAACCTTAGACCCTAAAACCATCTCTGTCTCCAGCAATCTCCGCCTTCAGCCATGCGGCGACGCCTCCTCTTGAGCTCCCTTAATGTTGGCAGTATTAGCATAGACACTATATACTTTCAATTTTCACATCCTTCTAATATTCTCCCCCTCTCCTATACTTCTCTAGTGTTCTTCTCTAGGTTTTAACTTGATCAAGTATTTTTAATTTTTTATCCATATTTAATGGATTTGGATACCTTTTTTCCTTAGCACTTTTTTCCATTTTGAAGCGCTTAAGCCCCAAAAAGCCTAAGCGATGTCTGACTGCTTTGCTCCGCTTTCCGCTCTCAACAACCATGATTCATGGAAAACTGCGGAAAACCCCAAAAATGTGTTTTCTACATGGAAATGAATTTCGTATTATTTGTACATAGATGAAACAAACATGTCCTCAAGCAAATGTTTGTCTGATTTAAGTTATATTGTATTTATGGGGAAGAGTATTCTTTATTTTTTATTGTGTGATCTTGTGAATAGTTACTGGTGAACAAACTGCGTATTAAATTTGAAGAGTTTTACCAAAAATCACTTTCTGGTTGTCAAGATTTGGCAAGGGAACATACAAATTGCATCCAACATGTAAGATTCAGTATGTGCTTAAGATTATTTATTTACCTTTATTTTCAATTTTCACACGTATTGTGCAATGTACTTAAATCCTCATGAATTGGTTTCTCAAATTCCACCCTTACATCACGTTACATGCCTGCATAAAGGTAAATAAATAACTGGGATTTGTAGCTTGAATATTTGTGCTCACTTTTTGGCTTGCTCCATCTTCTGGATGGGGTGGAGGAAATGAAGGAGAAGGGGGGTGGGGGTGGGGGTGGGAAAGCATTATGCTTTCAATAATGTAGCACCACCAGCAGGTGGCTGTTCTTTTTGGTTGTCCTTTCTTGTTTACTTTTTTCCTGTTTTATTAGCTTCATTTGTCTCTTTGTTTTCTGCTTCTACTAGCTCCTTAAGAATAGGACAAAACAGCCAAATGCCTCTTAAAGTATTGGTGGACTCTCAACTTTCCTTATAAAGTATCAATTTACCTATGTTTCCCCTAAACTATTTGTCTTGGCCCAATGGGGTCATTTTTAGCCCATAGTCTAAATTTTGATAGATCAATGACGTGGCACTGTTTGTTTGTTTTTGCACTTGTATTTTTTTTGCGAGTCAAAAATGATTTTCCAATTTCAAAAAAGGGATAAAGGGTAAAAAGTTTTATAGGAAAGTAGTTGGAAAATTTTTGGTTTGGGGGAAAGGAGTTATACTGATAAAAAAATGAAGAACTGCAAAAAGGCATTGTCACATCATTGATCTGTTATTTGACTGTGGGCTCACAACATGGACACATTAAGCCCAGAAACATAGATTAAGGAAGAAAATAGTTAAATTGATACTTTAGGGAGGAAGTTGAGAGTTCAACAATACTTTAAGGGGGAGTTGGTCATTTTTTCCTTAGGAATATTAGTATTTCTCACTATCTATATGGGTTAAGGCTGTGTAAACATCCTAAGGGCATGTTTGGTTAGGGATAATTGGAGCCTAGAGTGAATCCAACTACGTCAAAAGTCCAATATGCTCATTTAGTTGGGTGGTGTTATAACTCCAAAGAGTTGTTGAAAAAATACTTATAAAAATAGGGAAATAACAGCTGCACGAGATTGTCGTGTCTTCCAACAAAAGAATTTAGAAATTCATGCTGTTGTAAATGCATTTGCAACTCCCACTGCTTTTAACAAAATTTACGCCAAGTGCATAAATTTAAAGTTTAAACTGTCCTAAGCTTTATTAGTGGTGCACCGAGGACCTTATGCTTTATTTTTTGTTCATTTTTCTTAGTATTTGAAATACTTATTCAATTGCTGCTGCTGTGCTTACATGTTGATGCATGGTAATGATGGTTCTAACTGATCTATATTTTGTGATATATGTAGAACACATTTACTCCTTATTTCATAAAGAGTACTATCACTTTATTATACCTAAGTCCTTCACTTTTACAGTCGTCATCCTGAAGTTAAATGGGCAGAGAGGCTTGACAAGGTTTACATCACAGTGCAATTGGCTGATGCAACAAATGTTAAAGTGAATCTTGAACCTGATGGTGTTTTCACCTGTTCTGCGACAGCGGGTGCGGATGGTTATGTGTATGAGATCAAACTGGATCTTCATGATAAAGTAAATGTAGAGGTAAGGCTTGGTACTATGATGTTATTAACTAAGTCTGGAGTTGATAAAAATATTCCTTACCCTCCTAGTTTCAATTGTCAGGATAGTAAACTAAACACTGGCGTTAGGAATATCTTTTGTGTGCTGGAGAAGGCAGAGAAAGGTTGGTGGAAGAAGCTTTTACGAGGGGATGTCAAAACACCGCACTATGTGAAAGTTGATTGGGACAAGTGGGTGGACGAAGATGATGATAACAATGGTCTGTGTTTACTGTTTGAATATACATAATATTAGTTAAGAATGCGATTTAAATAGCAGTACTCAATGGATCCAAAGATAATAAATATGTATTAAAGAAATAGAAGGACAAATTACACGTCTGTTTTCTTTGGAAATTAAATAGAGCATTGGGTCTTAAACTTTCCTTCGCAGGAAGTCATGTCATGTTAAATATGCAGGTTTTTTGCGTCATACTAACCAAAGTACTGCTAAATTCTGATTACAGCTTGAGTATTTACAGAAGCATTTAAGTTCTGGAATATGCTTGAAATATGTTAAGGATAGGTTGCTGAATTTTCATTTCAATGTATTTTGCCTACTTGTATGATTATTTGTCTGCCTGAACCTGCACAAGTTAAATCTGAACCATTGACAAAACTGTGAAACCAACTATGAGAGGTACAAATAAATCTTAGTGTATTCTGTACGTTGAGATTTTGTTAATATACACAACAATTTATAGACATGCACGCAAGTTTCTTATTGTGACATTGACACAGGGTTGGCAATCTAGAAGTTACGATATGGTGATATACGAGTGTTTTTTAAAAATATTTGTATATTAACCCATATAAATCTTTTTGTTGGCTTGCTGTTCACTGATTATAGAAGCCAAAATCTTAAAGGGAACTGCAATGTAATTAGTTATTTTACTCACAGAGGCGACACAACATACTTCATATTGAACATTGTTTAAGCTGAGTAAAGCTTTCAGACATAATTGATGACCAGTAGTACACGTTTGTTGTGTCCAGCCAACACCAATTTGTGTCTCCAATTTTTGACACGGTTAAAAGGTCCTGAATACATATAGATTAATACATGTATGTGGTTGTCATTTGAAGACACTTGATTTTTCAAGTTTATACTTGTCAACAGCTATAAATATATTTATGCAGGGACGATTCTTCATTTATAATAGGGCAGTGTTTTCTTGAGCAGCATCTGTTGGACAGTTATAAAGGTTTCACACACTGTTAGTCTTAAAGAATAGGAACAAGTTGAAGTATGTTACTACTACTTTCAGTTAGATGTGTGCTATTAAATACTTCTTGCAAAATTGTTGTGGTCCTACATGTAAAAATAAACTAAAAGTTATAAATATTTGATATCTACTATCTATGTTTGCTTACTTTCGATTTTGGAGTATATCTCAGAACTTCACATTTTGTATAGATATTCTTCCTGTTTTACTAGCTAACTTTCTTGTTCATATCAGACACTGGTAATTTGAACATGGGTGGAATGGACTTCTCGGTAAGAGATTTACCGTCCTTCCTTTATATACATGTTTTAGTTTTAACATATTGGCGATTTATCCTTATTGCGCTACATGTATCATCTTATACAGAATTTCGCTAATATGGGAGCCATGGGTGGAATGGGCGGTATGGATATGGGCGCCTTGGGTGGAATGGGCGGTATGGATATGGGAGCAATGGGTGGTATGGGTGGTATGGATGATGATCTTGACGATACTGATGATGAAGGTATTTGTTCTGGACTTGAATATTCTTTTGCTTAATCAGTATGCATTCTGCTCTGATTGTGTTTGCTGAAAAGTAGTAGTAGTAGTTTTTTTTCGTACCAGACATCTTTGTTTGTCATTAGCATTAGTCTCTTTATGCTGGTTGACATTGCCTTGCCAAACCACCATCAGCCATTTTTTACACGCACCAATATCTGTATTTCAGCATGTATATGTGAATCAGATGATGTATAATCCTTGAACCTCTAGATTCTGTGCATCCACTAGATGGTTTTTTGCAATCTGTTAAAGTGCCTTATTACTTACAAGTAGAAGCTCTTTTATGAAGTAAAAAGTCGCATTGAGTGAACACACATATGTAAATATGACTTTTCTGAATAAACTTATGCAAGACTGGGATTTATGCATATAAACTCACTACGTATCTAAGACCAAAGATTTAAAACAAGTAGCACATTGACCTATTAAGAATTTGGTTACTTGAGACTGCTAATCCCTACAGATGTTGCTTGATTATCTCTTGAGAAGGATATATTGGTTTCATAGACTAATGATCTTCCAAGAGAAGTTTCCTTGACATGCAGTTCTTCCTAATTTCAATCTAGGTGAAGTTATCACTTAACATAATGTTTTATCTAGATAAATTATGCTAATGATTAGGTATAACCGTCTTAATGTTGAACTTGTTAGTTATTAAAGTTTTTTGGGTAACCTTTTGGATTTGTTGTAAAATTATGAATATACCCCTTACCTTTTAGTTCAAGGAAGAAGGTTTGTCTCCTTCAATTTTAGCCCTGCCTCCTGTTTGTTATTAATATATGGTATACATACATGCATGCATATGCGCGCACACACATCATACTTCATTAAGCTTGCAGCTTTTCTAATTCCTCTTTGTTCTTTAATTATATTTGTAATTCATATATTCTCTATTAAATGGAACAACATCAAGTACTGCCTTTTTCTTCAAATTATTTTTTGTTTCGAATATATTTTTTGCTGTGTTTCTTGCGTACCATTTTGAATGTTATGAAGCTTTTGTCTATGAGGTGGATAAGTTCCATTGCTCTAAGCCATGACATTCTATCACCAGGCACTAACGATTAAACAAAAACTACTTGTAGATCATGGGACACTAAAATCTATCACAGCCGTGCATATACATTATGCACCAATAAAAAGATTGGTTTTGGTGATTAGATGCTATCATCGGTTAACTATTTAACACTTGAAGTCTAATGGTAGACCATGACATTCTTAATCTCGATGCATGAGCATCATATTTATCAAATACTGCAAGCATGACCTTTCCTGTAGTAGTTTGGAACTTTCGCTCGTTCATGTTTTCAGACTAAATCCATTCATCCTTATTTAACCCTGTGATGTCTTTCTAAATCGATATTTATACCTTTGCAGAACAAGCACCATTAAGGACTGAGGGCGCAGGGAAAGCTGATGAGGTTTCTTCGGAGGTCAAAACAGAAGCAGCTCCATCTACATGACAGATTATATTGTCGCGCTTTTCAAAGGCTGAGAGATTGTACGGGTTTGGTTTATTGATGGGTTTGGCCTATTTGTATGTGCTCTAATTTTGCCTCCGGGTAGATAGCCTGGAGAGCAAATCTTGTTTTTATCGTTATGCAGGATTTATTTAAGCTCATGAACCTTTTGGATGGCTTTTTGTCCACTTTCTAGCTTAATATGTTTGTTCTTATATTAGGAAATATTTGTTAGGTACCACTGTAGCATCTATGTAGCGTCCCAGTGATGTCCGTGTGCTGTATCTTACTGCTATTTTCTGTGATAACCGCCTTATTCATTTTTAGGCAGGTGTTGCTATGTATGCTCGTTGATCAACGAAACTTGATGTTATGGAACCCAAATATCCCAATAAAAGCCTTCTTTTCGGTAGCCTGAATGATGTTAAAATAGATCGTGCATTTGTATAAATAGTAGGTTTCTAATGCTGACATCATGTAAGTTAGGCTTCTGATGCAAAACAGCTATGGTTTTTTCCCCCTTTCTCCCTTTTTATTGAGACTCTATTTCAGTCTGTGTTATGTCTTTGGTCACGTTTTGTCACGTCACATGTTGATAACCCCCGATGGGAAGTTGACTAGTCTTTTTTGCTAGGCACAGCAGGCTGCATGTCTCTTTGTTACTATAATTGTAACGTGATTACCAATTATATATAACTGCAGTTATTAATTGTAGCTGTCCTTTTTGTTGGTTCAGTTTTAATATTTTGCAATTTAAAGTTGCAACTGCGCTTGGAAGTGTTTTGTTTTGGAAGTTTCATGTTTTCCAGAGTTCTATGGGGTTGGTTGTGACTGAATAATAAACTTAAATCACATTCGTAGTTATAACTGTATTTGTTAGTTGTAATGAGAAATGTAAATGTAACTGATACAAAATGTTCTACGAGGAATTCTTGGTATCTGAACTCCAAAAAACAGGCATTTTTATAGTTTTTTAAAGCCTAATTTGCACTAAATTGCCTTATTTTCACTAATCTAACACTTAAATACCCTCAAATATTTTTCGAGTATTTATGTACATTGAGTTGTTTAAAATTAACACTTAATACTCTGTTGTGCAAATGTAAACATTTTTAAACGAAAGTGCTCATATAATATTCACATGTTAAATTTAGAACTTTTTATTCATTAATATTTATTAAATTTACTGTTAATCCCACCCAAAGTTTAATTTCAACACATTATGTTTCCATTTGAAAAATAAACTTTAGACATATTCAACAATAAGTTTAGCAAATTAAATTATTAGAAAATTATAAAATGTCAACATTATGTTATAGGAGAACTTTCAGATGAAAACTTTCAAGTTTTCATAATAGAGGGTAATTATTAAAGTGATGATTTTAAACAACCTAGGGCATATAAATGCTCCAAATACGAACTGAGGATATATAAGTGCTATATTAGTGAAATAAAAGGAATTTTAGTGCAATTAACCTTTTTCAAATGATAAAAAAATGAAAATGGGTTGAAAAATCAAGAAGGGTCTTTTCGTCCTTTTCTTGCTATTTATTTTCTCTCCCTCTCCATCCAGAGTCCCTCTCGTGTGAACTTACAGTCAAAATCAAGTAGTCTGAAAGATGCAAACTTTGTCTTTGTGTTACCAAAAAAATTTACAATTTTTTGGCTCTTTCAATCATGAGCCCAAATAGAAAAGAGGTTTGCTTCACCTCCTAAAATTTTTCTTCAATAACAATGATCCCAAACACTCTAAACCATGAAACCCATTGAAGGAAACTAGCTAGAAGAACATGATGCAACCTTGGATCAAGATTCAACATGCTAATGAAGTTTCCTATTCATAACCAAGGGACGAGGGAGTGGATATACGTGTGAGGATCATTTAATTGTAGATAAAAGGACTAAGCATCAAACCGCTTTAGGAGTAGAGGATGAAGTAGAAGAAAGACATAATTGATACACAGATTTACAAAAGATGCCATTGACTATGACGCCAAAAGTTCGTTATATTACGGAAGTAGGTGTGGAACACCCTGTTAACTGCCTACCGATTATAAGGACATAAGAGGGTGAAATTACATGAATAAATTACATAATGTGCCATCGAGGTACTCCTAAAATTGTTTGTAGAAGTACCGAAGCTGTCAGCATGCAAGTGCAGTCATAATACAACCCTCCCTCGCTCCCTCCCTCCCTTCCCCACCCGGCCGAATCCACGCCGAGCCACACCCCCCACCCGCCTCTCTGCGGCCCTATGGTCATCAAAAATTAGCCCTATGAGTCCGCAAACGCGATTTTAAGTCGCGAGAGAAAGATGAAGAATGTCATCATCTAAGTCATAGCAAACTATACAATACGAAGAGAAGCAAAGGAAGACACAAAACGCCAAGCCAAAAGGACTTGGGGCTGTCTCACTGTTTGTGAGACATTCTCTACTGTCTCGCATTGGTTTTCGCATTGAAGAAATTAAGACATCATTTGTATGGAGTATAAAGGAAATTATATACAGATTATCAGAGTTTGTAAGTACCTTCTTCCCGGAAGAAATTTAACCAGAGGCAACGACAAAGAGTCGAGTTTATTAAAGATAAGAGTTTGCAATTTAGTATCCTTATGAAAAGACGAGTGTTGTCGCAGACGCGTTGAGTATAAAGCGTTGATGTGAATAAACAGTTTTGAAGTGTTTAATGTTTATTGCATCGATAACTTTACACTCTCAGCCAGATTAGATTTAGACAGGAGATTAGCGGAAACAACTTTTTCTTAGGAGCTTTATCAGTGAAGTAATCTTGGAGTTATGGAAAGATCAGTACCGAGTTAGGAGATTCTTAGATTAAAAATCCGAAAGAAGGAAGCTTCTACAGAGACTAAAGCAGAATGAACCATCGACATTGACGGGGTTTCCGAATTAAGCGTCGGCTAGTGATGCCGGAATATCCACAACTTAAGAAGGATTTGATGACGCATATCGTACTAAGTATACAGTACATCTAGACACATAGGAAATATACAAAGAATTGAAAGGACGTGTTAACGGAGCAGCATGCGTAAGGAGATTTTGAAATACGTAGTTAAATATTTTACCTGCCAATAAGTGAAGGTAGTACATCAGAGACCATCTGAAACCCTATAGCCTTTACCCATTCTAGAGTGGAAGTGGGCAGAAGTTTCTATGGATTTTATTGTAGGGTTGCCGAGATCAAAGAAAGAAAATGAATCTTTTGGATGATAATTGATTGGTTGATGTAGTCAATGAAATTTTGCCGTGAAAACAACTTGTACAGCAGAGATGTATACAAAGATATTTGTCCAGAAAATAGTAAGATTTCATGAAATTCCAAAGATGATTATATCATACCAAGGCTTGATGCTTACTTCATACTTTTGGAGGATATACTACGAGCATGTGTTATGGATTATCAGAACAATTAGGAGGACCACAACCCCATTGATGGAATTCATGTATAACAATAGTTATCGAATGCCTATTTAAAAGACACCGTATGAGATGTTGTACGAGAGACCTTGTAGATTGTCTATTAGTAGGCAAAGTCGGAGAATAGTTATTACTTGGACCAAAAGTTATAAGAGCACACTACGAAAGAATGTAATATTTATTTAAGAACATATTCTTACCACTCATAGTCGGCAAAAGAGTAATACAGATCAGAGGTGACAACCTCTAGAAACTTCATGTTGGAGATTATATAATAATAAAAATATCACCGATGAAGGGCGTTCAGTGATTCGGTAGACAGGGAAAAACTTACCCCAAGATATGCTAATCCGCTCAAAAATTTTTGAGCATGATGGAATTATTTCATTTAGATTGGATTTTCCCAGTTTCGATGTCGAGCGTATACGATATGTTTTATGTTTTGATATCTAAGAAGCATTTGCGCAACGAGAAGAAGCATAGGGTGATTGATGCACCAGAGACCGAGATCCAGATCCAAGATGATTTGACTACCATAGAGATTCCGATATGCATTCTTGCTAGAAAGAATAAAAAGCTTAAAAATAAAGTCATTCCATTAGTGAAACTTCAATGGAATCAGCAAGGAGCCGAAGAAATTTATTAAGAGCACGAGGAGGGTGTGTTAGGAATATTAACCCCAAGATTAGTTTATTTTGATGATAACAAATATTATATATATGTTGTGTGTATTAAGTGCTAATATTTGTTTTGCAGTATCATAACTATATCAACAATTATATTCAAAGAGATACTCAAGACATAGATGAATTCAAGGCAAAATGAAGCAAAAAAGAAGATATACTTTATTGTCAAAATGTAATTTTATATTCTCTTTGCTTAGAAATTTATACAAGCCTTGATCACTAACACACATGCACACACATAGTGTTAGAACACACTAATACATGCTTAGTGTTAGAACACACTGTTGGTTAACAATAGAAATCCTCTATGTTAGCCATTAGAGTTTATAGATATTGAGTAAGTCTTAAAATATTTTATTTATACCCCTTAGCAGTTTATATTTGGAAAACTCAAACGATCAAAGTTGTAGATCTCTTCAATAGCTTTCCAACAAATCTTAAATCATCTCAGTCCGAGGTCGGATGAGAAACTTACAGTCAAAATACTGAAAACATAATTCCAGAATCTGTGAGTTTACAGTGTAGTCGACTATTATACGTCGACTAGTATGCCTTGTAGTCGACTACTAAGTAATTTTCTAACTTCACACAGTCTATTTAGACTCAGTGTAGTCGACTACTATGACTTGTAGTCGACTACAGGTGCAGTTTTTTTAGATTTTAGGTTTTGAATAAGTGACTATTTATAGTCGTTTTGTGAATGTTAATTGGGTTTAAAATTATGTCATTTCAGAGGCTATAAATAGGTTTAAACATCAGAAAACAAGCCCCAAGTTTTACACTTGTAAGATTAGTGTTCAAATTAACTGTCTAAACTTTTAGTTTTTCAATCTGTTTTTCCATAAAAGAGAGTTTTTGATATTGCCTTTGTTCCTATCATTCTTAGAACTTGTTTAGGTAATATTCAGAGTGTTAAAAAGATTGATAAGCCACTGTTACACGTTCACATCCACATCAAGGCTTATAGGATTATAATTGTACATTGCTTTAAAGAAAGGTTCTCTCGGTTTATGAGAGGGGTTGATCTCTTGGTCTAGAGGTCGGTTTACAATTGGCATGGTCTTGTCAATTGGGTTTACAATTTGCATGGTCTTATCAATTGAGTTTACAATTTGCATGGTCTTAAAAATTGGTCAGGTTTGCTTTTAATTTTGTAAGGTTTCAAAATCATAGTGGAAACTCTTAAGCAGGATTTGCTTGGGGACTGGATGTACACCGGGGAGGTGGAACCAGTATACATGCTTGTGTTTGTGATGTTTATTTTCTAAGATTGCCATTCTTTCTTTGTAATTT